CTGCTGAAATTATAGACACCTTATTACTTTCAAATCAAGAGAACAGCAAATAACATTAATCAAAGAATTGTGATTTCAAAATGCAGAATGGTTATTTAAGTAGTAAAAAAAAGTTTATATTAAACCATTCTTGTAGCTGTGGGGATTTTTTGAATTAAAATATAAACGATTAGGACAAAGTGTAGATAAAAATGTAAGGTAATGTAAAATAAAAACAAGACGAAAAATTGAATGCTGGTAAGAGACATACTTACCTTTCCAGCCTTTGGAGACATACCTAGGCCATGAACAAGAGAGTAGTCAATATCGCAACCTCCGGCCAAAGCTCCAGAGGCTGATGCGGCCAAGGCCAGGCCTCCAGCTCCGAGAAATGGATCCCATACAAGGCTGCCTGGGCGGCATAGACCACAATTAGCCATGAGTCCAGCAAGACGTACGTCCATTGTAGTGTTGCCGAGATATTCGCGACGAGAAAGATTGTAAAAAGCAAGCAGCTCACGACGCACACTGTTACCAACAAGAATGCCATGATATACTTTATGAAGCGCTCCTGGGATCAAGTGATTGGAAGGTCGGAGATCAGATGCAATTGCTTTAGAAACGAATTCGTAAACTAGAGCGACCTGGTGCTATTGAATTTAAATCAAATGGTATATAAAGAAGGATACTTATACAGTATGGAGCATAGATCGTTTGTAAATGCAAATAATTAAAACTTTGATTTGGTGAACAAAGAAAGTGAATTGAGTGACTAAAACGTTGGAAAATTGAGCTATGGAATAACAGTGCAAAGGCCAGTTAAATGCAATAGAACTATCCGGCAAAAAAGTTAAAATATAGAACAACTCATACTTGTCAAAGTTATAGGAGGCGATAAGAACTCACGAATCAGCCAAACGATTAAATAGCTAAATTAAAATTGGTATATAAATGGGTTAACCTCGTTGTCGCAACTTGGTCTTGTTGTCAGGGGACTTAGTAGAATGCACCTAGTCCAAAGTAGTCTGCCATAGTAGTCATGATTCCCAGCATCAGACAATGGACTTGGTACATTCTCAAATTTTTCGCCGGCATCATCAGTGAGTTTTGCCATTCATTTCGAGTGAAAGCGTTGGGTGAAGAGATTCGAAGGTCTGTTCCACCAAAAGACGACGGTGGATTCCTCTCGACCAGTTTTCGATTGGCTTTACTGGAAGATTCATGCTGACGTTGCTTCCAAAGTAATCTCTTTCGATTCCGGTGAAAAGGTGCTAAGCTTCTGTCGGTCATATGACCAAAATCATCAGATCAAGGTATCCTCGTCACAACAAAATTCAAGCTATCTCTGGTCGCATGTGCCATCTCAAGTGGATTTCTAGTACATTTTGGCCATAAAGCCGAATTTCCGTGACGGTTTGCTTATCCGTCTGCCCAGCTCGCTGACTACCAGGCCCCCAGAGTTGTACTGGTTTATTCGAAATGGGCGTCACTCACTGACAACGTCTTAGCTTTATTGCCGAAAACCCATGCCTCCCACTTTCTTCATCACGACCCTTTTTCCTCCGGTTAGCGGTAGATCCTTGATCCAGGCGTCTCCTTTTTGCTAGTCTTGCTCCATTCTTGTTTCCCCGAGTTTGCTTAGGCAATATGCAAAGTTATCGCTAACTCTACCTTACTCCAATCTCCTGTTCATTAGATTTTTGTCCCCAAGGATATCAATGACCTCCCTTATCTTC